TAACAGAGGAAGAGGAAGGCCTCCTCTGCGTTGGAAAGACCAGGTGGAGAAGGACTTGGCTTCACTTGGCATTTCCAATTGGCGTCAGTTAGCACAGAAGAGAAATGACTGGCGTACTGTTTTGGACTCGGCCAAAATCGCTTAGGCGGTTACAGCGCCAATTAAGAAGAAGAAGAAATAGCACATAAATTATGTAATTCACGTAGATATATCATTACGTTCAACATTTCGTTTAAAATGCCAGATTTCCTGCAAATACATTAGAATTTACAAAAGGAATTTTACTACTAATTGCCTACTTTGCGTACTTTTCTACTACCATTTTCGCACCAAGAGATTTCATTCTTCTCTTTTCTCCGTCCTTCGTAAATGCAACCTTTTTTAAGGGAGTGTCAAACCGCAGCTGTCAATAATTATCTAACCTTGTATTATTGAATCATGGATAAGTACATGTGTGACCACGCACTTCCTATGCTGAAGTGTTTTACAAAAACAAAAGTTCAGAAATGCTTATGGCCTGCTTACCTAAACGAAGTGTGACATGTTTCCTTTTTTTGTCTTGTTTTTGGCTTAGCATCTGCGAGTTTGCCTGCTCTTAAATTTACATAAAAAACAGTTTTAAAATATGCGTTTTTATTAATTACGTGTAAATAATGATAATAAAAAACAATCCACGTTTTATTTAATAAAATAAAATTATAGTTTAAAAAACTAAATCTCGCTATTATAATTTCCATTCGTAATGTTATCAGGTATGTAACTTGAGAATAGAAATCGCTGCATCTTTTAGGCGCATCAATATTACATAGTTACATCCCGAGCTAATGAAAGGGAGGTAAAAAAAACAAGGCACATATTCGTTTACATATGTATGTATGTACACCCCGCGACAAAAAATTTACCAAAAATCAACGGTATTTTGTAGACACTTCAAGCATGCTTTTTATTGTACAATGTACATACTAAAATTGAAAGGGCTATAAAACTGAATACTTTGATTTTTTATAAAAATTCTAAAAAAACGTGTTGAAATTATGATGGAAC